ATCATTCCTCTTCACAAACAACATATGAAAGGAGAGAGAGAGACTAATAAAGAAGAATGGCAAGGTGTGAGGAGTGCATGGCGCTGCCCGCATGACTGGGAGTGCATGGGAGCGTGGGAAAGTGTGTGGTGGGCTCTCCGGGCGGGGCTGGTGTGATGCCCTGCATACACAATGTCGCCGCTTCCTTCAGGTACAACAACACCTGCTGCTGTATCTTACCAGCGTCTTACTTATTATTACAGACGTGAGAGCAGCACGAGTGTTGCATCTTAGTACAACTTGCAAACATCTTCATATTCGGGTTTCTTAAAAAAATATAAGAATCATCGTAAAATGGCAGCAGAGGAGGAGGGGGGGGGGAGGAACCAGCTCCCACTGCCCCGAGCACGCATGCAATTGCCACGTTCAGGTTGTTGCTCATCACCACCACAACTCTTGCACTCATGGGAACTAACAAACTCCATATTAATAAACAACTCGACCCTGACTTAACGTATCGCATTAACTAAAAACGGTAAAATAAGTTAGTTTTTTTTTTAATTGACACGCGCCATTCAATAAAGTATTAAATAATAAACAGGTACGGTACAAGTGGGTTTTTTTTCAAGAAACTTCAAGCCACACGGGGCAGGTCACTTTCCTGGTGTATAAGACCCATTCCGCCCCGCCAACCACCCTTTCACGTTAAATTGGTTAGTTTACTTGCTTTCTTAACACAGGAAATGAATTTCTCACACAGAGGCGGCGAGAAGCGATAGTGGAAGAGGGTGGAAAACACGGATGATGGAGGGAGAGACGGGAGGAGAATAACAAAACGGTAAACAATAAAGAGAAAGACTCAAATAGGAAGAATAATGATGGAAAGGTGAAGGACAGACGAAGATATATATATACTAAACCAGGGAGAGAATACAGGAGGAATAAACCAGGGAGAAGATACAGGGAGAATAAACCAGGAAGATACAGGAGGAATAGAGAAGATACAGGAGGAAGAATATAAACCAGGAAGATACAGGAGTGAATAAACCAGAGAAGATACAGGAGGGAATAAACCAGGAGAAGATACAGGGAGAGAATAAACCAGGAGAAGATACAGGAGGAATAAACCAGAGGAGGGATAAACAGGGAGGAATAAACCAGGGAGAAGATATAGGAGGAATAAACCAGGAGAAGATACAGGAGGAATAAAACAGGGAGAAGAGAGGGAATAAACAAGGGAGAAAGATAGGGAGGAATAAACCAGAAGAAAGAATACCAGGAGAAGATGGAGAATAAACCAGGGAGAAGATACAGGGAGGAATAAACAGGGAGAAGACAGGAGGAAGGAGAAGATACAGGGAGGAATAAACCAGGGAGAAGATACAGGAGGGATAAACCAGGGAGAGATACAAGGGAATACAGGGAGGAATAAACCAGGAGAAGATACAGGGAGGAATAAACCAGGGGAGAAGATACAGGGCGGAATAAACAAGGGGAGAAGATGTCAGGAAGGAATAAGGAGAAGATGTAGGAAGGAATAAAACCAGGGAGAAGATACAGGAGGAATAAACCAGGGAGAAGATACAGGGAGGAATAAACAGGAGAAGATACAGGGAGGAATAAACCAGGGAGAAGATACAGGAGGAATAACCAGGGAGAAAGATGAGGAATAAACCAGGAGAAGATACAGGAGGAATAAACCAGGAGAAGAGGAGGGGAGAAGATGAGGAGGAATAAACCAGGAGAAGATACAGGGAGGAATAAACAGGGGGAATAAACGGGGGAGGAATAAACCCGAAGAAGATACAGGGAGGAATAAACCAAGAGGGAGATAAACCAGGGAGAAAACCAGGGAGAGAAGATACAGGGAGGAATAAACCAGGGAGAAGATGACAGGGAGGAATAAACCAGGAGAAGATACAGGGAGGAATAAAACCAGGGAGAAGAGGAGGGCCAGGGAGAAGATACAGGGAGGAATAAACCAGGGAGAAGATACAGAGAGGGATAAACCAGGGAGAAGATACAGGGAGGAATAAACCAGGGAGAAGATACAGGGAGGAATAAACCAGGGAGAAGATACAGGGAGGATAAACCAGGGAGAAGATACAGGGAGGAATAAACCAGGGAGAAGATACAGGGAGGAATAAACCAGGGAGAAGAGGCAGCCATACAAAGAGCACTCAAGAGACAAGTACAGGCGGCCCATCACCTCGTGTGTGAATATGATCAAAACTAATAAAGGAAACTACAAACAAAAAGGAAGTTGCCAAAACAAAAACTAGAACCACCTTCCTCGAGTCTGGCACAAAACTACCCCACGCCTACCCTCTCCACACCCGCTATGATGATGTGTCTGAGCTGGGGGTTACCTAGGGCAGGTCTGAGGCTTAGGGAGTGGGAAGTCTATACACAACCGTTCATGTCACAGTTCAGTGTATGCTAACGCTCCTCATGACCACCAAGACGGAGGTGGGGTAGGGGGTCACAAAGGAGGGGAGGTGGTTGGTAAGTCTTAGTGTGTGGGGCGAGAGAGGCGAGTGTGAACGGGTGGTGGGTTACAGCCTTCTACAGCCATGGGAAACTTGGGAACACAACGTCCCGGAGTGGCCAGTTCTCTCAGGGCGAATGAACTGAGCAATCCACGAAATATTAATGATCATTTTTCGCCACCGGACGAATATTTATCCAAGACTAATGTTGGAATCTTTTGAAGACTGATATAGTGTGTTATGATCCTGGCCGTAGCAGAGGAATGTCTACCTCAACTCCAGCATAACACAAGTACTAGTTGGCTCTTGGTGCAGTGAGGTGAATCGGAGCGCCAGGGACCAACACACACACCAAGAAGTTGTGTGCGTGTAGTGGTGAGCGTCCTAATGAAGGACGGCTGTCTCTTGTTCCTACCACGGCTGAGCTAACTACTGGAGCCACACTTCCTTTATTTCCCTAAATGTTCTCGACTGTCCATATGCTACTGCTGACCATCACCGCCCACCCCGGTAACACACACTCATCAGCCTTCATCTGTATAGCACCATTGTTTACGGTACAGTGTAACAATATTTATTCGAACAGCAAATTGATAATATGATTATACCAAACGGTGAACATTATAATTGTTGGACGATTGAGGCAGGTGGCGGCATTCGGCAACTGTGTGGTGTTCCTAGGGGCGGGTATCCTACAGAGCCTGGGGGCCTGAGCGCGTCCCGTGCAGCCCTGGGCGACCGCTAATATCCTGCCAGTCCCCACCCAGCTAATAGCTCTTAGTAAGCTCCTCTTGATACACAATTTTTAGTTTCCACCACAAATCTTTAAATACTACGCGTGTATCCCAGCAGCGACTCGCTTATATATCGTGTATAATAACGTGTGTTAACACTATACTGTACGTTATATATACTATTATGGTTAGAAGGATAATGCTGGGTGGTGTTTATAGGATGTGACCGCCGCCTACTTCAAGTAACACTCGTCAGGCCAACAGCTGCCTCTACCTTACACACACACGCGGTCCACGGAGCTCCTCCGGTTCCCACGTGAACACTTTACTAATATGGCCGGTAAAGGCGAAAGAAGACATTGCAATGCGTAGCGGTGAATTGTGAAACATTTACGAGTCAAAAGGAACCGGATATTGTGTTCCTCCTCCTCCCTCCCCTCCGTTTCTTCCCTTCCTCCCACCCACCCTTCCCTCCATCTGTTCAGTATTTTTATTAGCCATTGTTAGGAGTCACATCTGTTTCGTACATACATTCTCAACATTAATCATATTTCCCATTACAAATTTGCTCGTCAATATTATTAGAAACTTGAACGTGTTGCACTGTGATAGGTTTATATACAATATTGTAAACGAGTCACTAGGATCAATAGTTGACTACGCACTACTTACTGTTATCATCTCTGACAATACCTATGATGGTTAGCCACGGTTTTAAAGTTTAACCATGATATAGAGACCATGATAGAGACACCTTTTATCTGATAGTAGTCGAGGAGCCGCACACACAGGGAGGGTATGGTGTACAGCCGCCTACTAACAGAGGTGGCCAGTAAAGCCATCATTACCCCCAATATCACCAAGTTGTGTTTGTTAACGTGTTTTTTCAACGACCTTAACAATTGTTCTCAAATATATTATCACAACTAGGATACTGACAGCCTTGTACACTTATAAAGTAATTCTCAACCTAAGTTACACTACGGTATTGTATATGAAACTAAATGAACAATAAAAGATTATATTGTTAACGAATAGATCAAGGAAACTAAACTAGAAGTAATAACCAGAAGACCAGGCTAGGAACTGTCCACACCATCAATGGAGGAAACTTTAACAGCAAACGATATAATCCAACTTTTCCTTACAAGACACAAAAGGTGTATTTATCACTTTAAGAAGACGATAATAACAGAGTGGAAAAGTGCCATAGTGTTTGGTTAAGATACCCGTTAAGAAACACCAGTAGACTTGTTTCATTTTGGTATGTTCACTCGGATACCCGTATCGCCATAAATAAATATCTACCATGATTTTGTAAAAGTTGGGCCTAAATTAGCTACGTGAGACACACCACCACTCTACAACCCCACACAAACACTGCCCAGTATATACGGGACTGCCCAGTATGTGCCAATAGGTCCGCTGCAGATTCATCCATTCTTATGTTATAAGCTACTAACGTAACGTGACGTAAACAATGAAATACCTAGTAAGAATATAAAAATAACCTAGCCGCCATCACTGACAACTTAGTCTAGGCCTATCACCCCCTCCCTCCCTAGGTCTGTCTATAACAACCTAAGACCTAGTGTGAACTACTATTACTAATATAATCTGAGCACCAAAACCCGACATTAACGCACGCTTGAAAAATATATCTTAACGAACTTCTTATTCCTCATAATTCTACAAACTTATAAACACAACTTTTACTGATGTGTGGCTTGGCAATAGTTAACACCTCATGACTTACCACACGAAAGATGAAACACGAAATAATCACTTAAAAAGTATGAATTAGTTAAAACATATAATTTACTTAACGTGAATGACTGGATAAAACCCGAAACAATTACCGGTACTTGTCACACGAATGATTTACTTAATACATGATTGACGGACTAAGCACGAAAGTTCCTTAACACACAAGTCTCACTTAACACAAAAGTTACTTAACATGTAAGTTACTTAACACGTATTTCATGTAAGTTACTTAACACGTATGTCTCACTTAACACGTAAGTTACTTAACACGTAAGTTACTTAACACGTATGTCTCACTTAACATGTAAGTTATTTAACACGTATGTCTCACATAAAATGTAAGTTACTTAACACGCATCTCACAAAATGTAAGTTACTTCACACGTACTTAACACGTAAGTTACTTAACACGTAAGTTACTTAACACGTATGTCTCACTTAACACGTAAGTTACTTAACACGTATGTCTCACTAACATGCAAGTTACTTAACACACACAACTTTGAAACTTAGATAACGTCCGGAATTTTCCGCCAAATAACTACATGGACTGGAATGAGAAATGATCGGAGGAAATGTACAAATAACTTAGAAATATTTAATCAGAGGAAACGTTCAAGTAACTTAGAAATGATGCAACTTAGAAATGATGCGAGGAAATTGTACAATATATAAATGAACATGAGGTAACTTAACAATGAACGAAGAAAAAGCCTAGTGTAATACTCAATCATAAATAGTGTACTTACCGACATACGAGGCTGTGCCGTTGGGGTGTTCATGCCAAGCTTCTATGATCAGTGAAAAGGTTCCCTGTTGAGAAGAAAACAAATCCCACCTTTAGCTTTCCGTTACCATCATCACTTGTTCACAACACCTTATATATATATATACATACACACCTCTTTTTTTTTTCATTTGCGATTTTACGAACGGAATATTTCAAGTCCATCAAAAATCCCAAAGTGCCTCGACGTGTTCAGATAACGGGTATAATTATTTATTCTAACGGTAATTGTTTTTTCTAAAATAAATTATATATACTTTTCTGGATATTTGTACTTCTTTTTTCAATGAATAGCCAGAGCTTCACTACCTCAGTAAGGCACTTGTGAACGGCAAGATGCACTCAGTCTATTTATGGGTTTACAACACAACACAGCCAAACCCTCAGTGTAGGAAGGTCGCGTCGTAAAAACATTATATTTTCCTGCTCACAACACTACCACTGTGCTCTACCAGTTTACAATAGGCCTAATTCTTCACTTTACTTTTCAATAGGCCTAATACATCACTAACACTCAACATATTGCCTTTTATTAGGTATTTTCTAATTAATTTATTGGTTTTCATGGTAAAATGTTCACACAGATCTATGTTCACTTGTCTTGCTGATTGAGGTTAACTCACAACACGAGGTATATCTTATTTCATATATGTTTATATATAATTTAAACACGATTTCACTTATAAATTTTATGAAAATTTATCCACATTTTATTTCTTCGCCAACAACCATTTGATCTGAGGAAGTTGATGTTAGTCACATTACAGTTGGAAAACATTATCACTGGTAAGTAAATAATGGAAGAGCAGACCGTGGGAACTGAGGCTGCAGGTTAACTTTTACACCACACACACGTTACGATTAAAAGATTCTTGTTGAGGCGGCAGTAAAAACTGGCCCGACCACTGCTGATGCTGGCTGGCTGGCCAGGGCAAGCTTTCTGCCCACCTCTCGCACACACACTCGCTCGCATCTTCTTTGCGTTGGTCCTCACAAAAACTGCGCTAATCCTTTGTCACTATATATATACACTTTCAAGGCGAATTTGATCTGACTTGTGGGGGCCTCGGATTCTTGGCGCCCACAATAACACATTAATTTATTTTTCTTATTAACTGAGACACTGTTTCGGTATTTTAGGAACACTTAACACTTTACACTCACTGTAGCTTCTCACTTGTACACATCTTAGCACTTTGGGATTTATGATAGCGAATATTCCACCTATACAGCAACACTTCGTTTCTTACCTGCCACGACGCCAACTGAAATCTCACAGGATTCACAAATCCATCCAAGTCGGCTTTTGAGAAATCCACTTCGTTCTCGCCCAAGATGGGCGTCACTGCCTCCCCAAAAGTACATGGGGACTTTGGGTCGATCACCTCCTGGTACACTTTAAGACACACACGGAACTTGGTTCTACAAGTACCACTACACTGTCCCTCTGAGTCTCTGTACCCGTTACAACAGTGACCCTCTGTGTCCCGTCCATACTGGTTCACAAACTTGTTGAGTCTTAGCTCAAACACGGCGTTGGCGGAGGTCTGCAACACAATGATAGTACGTCATTATTAACTGTTATACAAGAAAATATCATTAACATGTGTACATCACTAAGCGGCAGCTCTGCCGGCAATATTTTGACTATGTCCAAAAAATTTTAAGTTAACTTGTAGATTAAAAAGTAAGAATCCTCTTACGCTTACCTTTGATATACATGTCGAGATGGTGACCATGGCCAGTGCGATGACCACAGGTTGTGTTAGCCACCGCATGGCTGGCTGATAAGAGTGACGAGGAGCGTGTTACTGGTGCGAAGGACAGCGCACGGCACACCCTCTACGTGCTACAGATCGTGACAGACTGACGAGGCAGGCAAACGTTCCCCCACCGCTCGCCGGCCTCAAGCTCCGCCCACCACCGACCTGCACACAATAACACTCATCTTAACTCCTCCCTCCTGTACTCCTGTATACTTCTTACTTTACATGTATTTATATTAACTACTAAAATTAGATACATTACAAGAAAATTGCATCAACCACTTGAAGACACGTGCAGTGTTTGTTTACTATGAGAGTTGGAACAGTAGCAGGACGATAAGCGTCTGGGAGTGTTAGTTAGTGGACCCACCGCTAGAGGTCACCAACAGACAGTGAATAACATTAATACTCCTCTCACAACAACACCTTAATATATATTGGTATTTAACCTTAAATTAACAATGTCCTGCCAAGATATCAAACTGGGAATAAAAAAACACCCTGAAACTGTAATTAGTATGGAGTTAAAGGAAGGGTATGTTGGGCTCAGTGGTGGTGTGTGTTGCTGTTACTGTTCCTTATATTATGTCATCACAGGAACATCATTAAGATATAATTACTGAAAAATACATAAATATAATTAATAGATAGCGGTTGTTATGTGAAAAATACTAATGTGAATATAATAAAAAATCGTTTTAACCTAATCTAACCTTTATTAAGTCTATTTATATGAGAATACATACATTCTACAGTATAATATGTGGAAACTGTATCAGCAGGTGGTGATCAGGCTTCACCTAGTCTCATTACGGAACACTTGCGACGTGTGTGTGTTTGTAAACGTTTTATAATATTTTGTTTTTCTTTGGTCGGTAAACAAACTATCTATCTATCTATCTATCTATCTATCTATCTATCTATCTACAAAGCACAATTACATTAATGGCAATTGACACACATCTCAAATTAGGCTTTTAAGCGACTGTAGTATTTAAATGGTTATCCTAAATGTTTGTGTATATAGACAATAAAATATCTCTTCTCAATGTTGTGCTAATATTTAATTGATGCTTATAAGGAGCTTAATAAGTGTGGGTATGGTCAAGACAACGTCGTGTAGTAGTAGTAGTAGTAGTAGCCAACATGATGCCACATTTCTTAAAACATTATATATTTTAACTAACACAACTACCGCCTCTTGTGTTGGTCAATGTCCACACCAGCATGTAATGGTTTAATAAGTCACCAGTTATATGTTTAATATCGATGTAGTTTCGTCGTGAACAGCATCATAGCGAAATGTCCACGTATAGAGACGACACCTAGAAAATGGGGGAAGCGTCGTCACTGCCACCCCCATTGTGAAGTATTTAACTTTCTATTAAGAACTAAGTAGAAATATCACCGTTGTAGTTCTAATATATCACAATTATATATAAAATCACTACTAAAGCTACAATAATCGTCAATGGTGTATAAGTAAGGTAGATTTAGTGGTACGAAGATAATATTATCGTGGTATTTGGTAGTGGAGGAGAGTGTGGGGGGGATGAACAGCTGCGAATGGCCACCTGCGCTCCCCCACCCCCCACCCGCGCGTGACGGCCACACCTGACAGAGACGTAACCCTCACTACCCACCACCGCCCGGGACCTTCCTTGGGGATTTACATATGATGAACTGAGGTGAGTGTGTGTGTGAGCATCTACCGCCTCGCACGCACTCTGATGTAATAGTTAATAGATAGATAGAATACCTACCTACATACATACCTACCTACATACATACCTACCTACATACATACATACATACATACATACATACATACATACATACATACATAGGAAGATAATATAGATCAATAGATATTCAATAAAGCAGTCACAGTTGTTTACAATGGTTGAGGTAACAATGGGGAAATATCGGTGTAGAGATCGGGTGAACAACACTGTACTCCTGTGGCCACAAGTAACCTTCTGTGTTGTGGGATCACCTAGATAATAAATACCTTTGATTATTTCATCTGATTAACCTAACTTAAAACTTAACCTCAGCTAATTTAAACTAATACGAGTCTAATTTAACCTAACATTAACTTAATCGAACCTCATCTACTTTAACGTCATTTACCACTAACCAAACCTAACCTAAACTAATTCAAGCAACACATCAACCTAACCTAACCTAACCTAACCTAACCTAAACTAATTCAAGCAACACATCAACCTAACCTAACCTAACCTAACCTAACCTAAACTAATTTAAGCAACACATCAACCTAACCTAACCTAACCTAACCCAACCTAGTCCAGGTAACGTTATATTTCTGCTTTGATATAATTAATGTCAAAATTCACTAATAGTCATCTTAAAGACATATTTCTTCTTGCTAAGTTTTCTGTGTATGTGTGTGTGTGTGTGTGTGAGTGTGTGTGTGTGTGTGTGTGTGTGTGTGTGTGTGTGCTTGTTTGTGTC